AGCCCGACCACCGCGTCAAGGTAGCAGCTTCGGTCGGGATAGCGATAATTTATTGTTAATGAATAACAAAAATCCGCCACCGTACAGCGAGCAAGCACACAATGAAGCCAAGTAAAAATGACACGCATGGAAGATGGCTGGGAAGCCAACTACCCTTTTAGTCAAGAGTTACTCCATATTTAAAGCTACAGACATGTGATTAACGCGATAAGAAGGGCACACACATATACGCTCATATAAAAACAGTCAAGGCTAATAAGCGAATAATTGACAAGGTCAAAATATGGCTCGAGTAGGATGAATAAAATAGGATGTCCGCAAGTTAGAATAAGGTACATGGGCTTGCCATAATAACTGATACTACAGGTACGTGAAAGTTTCCATCTTCGACATTCATTTTCATTTTCTAGGAGCCGTTGTTTTTAAATTTTTTGATTTTTACATTAGTGAAATAAGTATTCAGTGGAGTTTAATCCACCGCCCACAATGAATGGGGGCTGCACACTAACTCAGAATGATCGAAGTTAGACACGTACACTAGTGAACAAAGGCTCCGAGTTCGAGCCTCTATGGCAGTGTAGTGAATAAGTACCACTGAGAATCCCTATACTAGGGACAAAACAGCTGTCCAGAGTTTCCAGGTTTTCAAAGTTGATCTAGCTAAGACTATTCAGTGATTTAAACCATGAAAATATTTAAACGTCAGAACATTTTACAATTATTTAATAAATGTACATATAATTTTTCTTACTTTACTAATCGTCTTTAATGTGGTATAAAGTAAACTAGTTTTAAAGAATTATTACTGTCCAAATTCACTTAGTATTGTTTTACTTGTATCTTCCTATTGTTATTTAGGACTGCAAGTGATCAGTCACTTGTTGGCATATGTACATCCTGTGCGGACTTCCTCGATATACCCTTAAGTGACAAGCATTTTAAGCAAAAGTGGATAGTGGCTAACAGTGGAATCTAGGACGCGCGTTTCGTCTTATTTATAACTAGTCAGCTGGATGTACCTGCATCTCACAGTTGATGTTCACTGCGGTACTCGAACCCAGTAATGTTCGCTTCAAACGCTATCGCGTTCTGACTTCGATATTGGTGGATAGTTATTCTGAGTTCCTGGATTCCACTGATAGCCACTATCCATCTTTGCTTAATTATGACTGTCATTATTTATTGGTTATAAACAAATGGAAATCACTTGATATAACAGTCCGTTATGCTCATTGTTCTGAAAAAGATATTAATTACTTAAATCTATAGTAATTATGAGTGCAACGTTGAACCTGACATATGTACATCGGTTCGAAACGATACACCACACTAGTAAACCGAGATGCAATTATCAAGATAGACTGTAGAGTAGTAGAGGTATTCACAGAATTAACAGTAAAGATTAGATATAAAAAAGAGAAATAAACAAGTGGATGGAGATTTCATATTCTAAAAAAGTCAGTCAGTAAATGGACCTGGGTTATTGCAAACGACTCTGAGACATCTCACCAAAAATCTCCGAACACAGATTACTATAATTATGCAGGTTTTACACCTGCTATTTAGATGACTTAATAAATTTATCAAAAACTTTATGCACTGGCATCACGTCTTGATTTGCTTACCCATAATTTCCTTACAGACTAATCCTAATCCTCATCATAGGATGTAATTTATAAATACCTTTACAACCAAAGTGTTTATCAGTTGTTTTTAAACGTTCGTTAGACACAAGAGTCATATAGATAGATCTAGATTATCTGGATGGGAACGGCGAGATAATCGTAGTCAGCAGCTGAAGGCTTTGAGTGATATAGCTCAAAATCACTTGTACAAGATCACGGATATATTCATCAAGGCAAAAAAAAGTAATTATAAAATGCTAATGCGTTACATACTTACTAACGCCTGTTAACCCCAATGGAGCATAGACCGCCAACTAGCATTCTCCAACCCACTCTGTCCTGGGTCTTCCTTCCTAGTTCTGTCCAATTGTTGCTCATTCTTCTCATGTCTGTCTCCATTTCTCGGCGTGATGTGTTCTTTGGTCTTGCTCTTCTTCTTTGGCCTTGAGGATTTGAAGTGATGGATTGCCTTGTCTTGACATTTGTATTGAAAATTGTGACTTTGGTGTTGGTTGTCAGTTGTTTTGATTTTGAGATGCTTTTCAGTTGTAGATATGCTGCTCTCGCTTTGCCGATCCGCGCCTTCATATCTGCATCAGATCCACCGTGTTCATCAATGATGCTGCTGAAAGCAGATGTAGCAGTAACTGCAAGGATACTCCAGATTCTCTTCAATAAGATTTGGGATGAAGAACAAGTACCAAAAGACTGGAAAGAAGGACTCCTGATCAAAATACCGAAGAAAGGCGATCTCAGCAACTGTGATAACTACAGGGGCACCACTCTTCTCTCAATACCAGGAAAAGTCTTCAATAGGGGTATTTTTAAATAGAATGAAGGACTCAATAGACGCCCAACTTCGAGACCAACAGGCAGGATTCCGTAAGGATCGATCGTGTACAGACCAAATCGCAACAATACGGATCATTGTGGAACAATCAATTGAATGGAATTCACCACTCTACATCAACTTCATTGACTACGAGAAAGCATTTGATAGTGTGGACAGGACAATACTATGGAAGCATCTTCGATACTGCGGCGCGCTTCAGAAGATAGTCAATATCATGCGGAACTCCTATGACGGATTAAACTGCGAAATCGTGCATGGAGGACAGTTGACAAAGTCGTTCGAAGTGAAGACCGGTGTTAGGCAAGGTTGCTTATTCTCACCATTTCTCTTTCTCCTGGTGATCGACTGGATCATGAAGACGTCAAGATCTGGGGGGAAGCATGGGATACGTGAACAGCTAGAATGCGGCTGGACGATCTAGACTTCGCAGATGAACTGGCTCTTCTGTCGCACACGCAACAACAAATGCAGGAGAAGACGACCAGCGTAGCAGCAGTAGGTCTCAACATACACAAGGAAAAAATCTAGATACTCCGATATAACACAATATACACCAATCAAATCACACTTAACGGAGAAGCTTTGGAAGATGTAAAAATATCTACATATCTGGGCGGCATCAGTGATGAACACGGTGGATCTGATGCAGATATGAAGGCGCGGATCGGCAAAGCGAGAGCAGCATATCTACAACTGAAAAGCATCTCAAAATCAAAACAACTGACAACCAACACCAAAGTCACAATTTTCAATACAAATGTCAAGACAAGGCAATCCATCACTTCAAATCCTCAAGGCCAAAGAAGAAGAGCAAGACCAAAGAACACATCACGCCGAGAAATGGAGACAGACATGAGAAGAATGAGCAACAATTGGACAGAACTAGGAAGGAAGACCCAGGACAGAGTGGGTTGGAGAATGCTAGTTGGCGGCCTATGCTCCAGTAAGGGTAACAGACGTACGTAAGTAATAGTCTGAAATATACACGAATTGACCTAGGTTGGCATATCATATTATCGCAACGAGATGAAATGAACGAGGTGAATGGCGAAAAGAGGTCATTGTAATTGTAGCAGTAATGACAGCAATGTTCACAAATCCCCTGGTACAGCCAAGAGTTGAGAGAGTCCACTTTCCCTCTTAAAACGCTCTTACATGGCCGCGTGTATACAGCCACTACCAGGCAAGTTCAACTCACTGCCTTCTCGTGGCGGGGGTATTGTTTACGAAATCGAGAGGATGGGAAGAGAATGTCCGGCGCTTAACCAGGTTGCTGGATACAGAAGATCCACCTATGGAGGTTGGAAAGCCCTTATTACAAGCCAATAATGGCACATGGGTTCCAGGATTCTGAAGGAACAAATAGCGTATGAACCAGTTGTTGGTCACCGGCTACCATGGAACTGCATCTCCTGACGTTGCTTCACTGCCTTGTGGATTAGGCCTTTAGATCGAAGGCTCCAGGTACAGTTCCCTAAGGAAACCACGTGTTTCGGTCTGGGCACTCGGGTAGTATCACGGCCCAAACACAAATCAAGTGACTTGTGTGATGCATATGTATTCGGTGCCCCTCTGTACCAATATTTATGTGTTCAAATAAATAAATAAATAAAATGACAACGAGAAAGAATGAAAATTGGAAATATATTTCAGTGGTTTGGATTATCAAAATTGCTGATAGTTTGTAAGTGAAATTTGATCAGTCTTGGTTGAGATATGTGCATCCTATGATGATTGGCTAGACATAGTCTTTATGCAAAATAGATTCATTATAGCTAACAGTGGAATCTACGATGCACGTCTCGTCCTATTTATAAGTGATTAGCTGAATTTACTCGTTGCACAAGTGAGCGGATATTTGGAATCAGTGGCTAGGTGGATAACGCGTTGATGTTTGAAGCAAGTGGTACTGTGTTCGAGTCTGAGACTGAACAACTCCGGGAGGCAGGTGTTCACCCAGCCGACGAAACCCGAATAGGATGAGACATGCATCCTGGATTCTACTGTTAGTCACATTCCATTTGTATGACATAAAACTGAGGATATCATTTGAAAGAACAAAATTAAAAGGTATGTATGAAAGAATATTCGAACTCAAGCTTTTAATGAATATAAAGTGATTGACTTTACGCTACTGTGAACGACTTTCAGCTACATCATCGGAAGTTGCCGATCACTAAGATCACGTGGACTCAAACTAGACAGACTGCGTCTGCCAGGATGACTCAGATCAAGAGTTAATAACTTCATGGGTTGATGGCGTGTTTTTGGTTTGACAACCCCTCAACCTTTCTTTTAACCTGAACGTTGCAGACTCGATCGTTTTACGATACATAAGGAGTATTTTGAAGAAATGTGCTTTGTGCACTCATTCTAAAATTACGTTTTGTGTCCAGTTGAAGCGGAGTTGGAGCTTTTCGTTCGGTGGCTGAACTTCAAATGCTTTAAACCACAAAGTCACTGAAATCGCTACTAACTGTTTATTAGTTAAAAAAATATTTAAAAAAGTATATTAAACTTACTAGACTCAAAATCATAAGCACATGGTCGACATGGGAAGAACTGAGGAAAAATTTGTAAAAACTTCTTCATATCTTCTTGTTGTTTCAATGTCGGGTGTATAGGGTAATATGCTGCCATTGTATGCAACAAAGTCCATGTTGCTTTTCCAAGTTCAATTTTATCCGGCGGACACTCTGAATAGAAGCAAAATCCAATCAAAATTACATTGAGCATGGTAGATGTGTACGCGGTTACAACGAAAATTAATCTTTTTTTCTCTTTGTGTCTCCTGATTGGATGTTTGATAACAAGGGACTTGAAGACCGATAAGCGTTAACACCTTGATAGTGATTCATCAGTCGGTGTGTAAATTCGTGAAATAATATGTCATCAGTCCTATTGGTCATATAGATGGACTAGTCAATGATCGGAATCCTGATTGAGCAATATAATATTTGATGACGATCACTAATCTCAAGCCACAACAAAGCATCTTAAGGCACAGTAGTTTAATATAATGCGCGTCCGTGGATGTGTAGATCCCAGAAGAGGAAGAAATCAGGAAGAAGTGCTGCAAGTAGATAGGACACATTGAGGAAAACACCCAACTGCGTCACAAGGCAATCCCTCACATGGAATCCTCAAGGCCAAAGGAAAAGAGGAAGACCAAAGAACACATTACGTCGAGAAAGAGACAGACATGAGAAAAATGAACAACAATTGGATAGAACTGGAAAGGAAGGCCCAGGACAGAGTGGGTTGGAGAATACTGGACGGCGGCCTATACTCCATTAGGAGTAACAGGCGTAAGTAATTCATGTAAGTGGATGTGTGGGACTTGGTCCAGTTATTTTCACATGGCAGATATGAATATAAGTCAGTCATGATTAATGTAGTGTTTCGGACAAAATACGAGTCATCCCAACTCCACACAACAATTGTACGATGAGATGAAGTTAATAATAATAGTAAAGGAAAGTAGTAACAAAGTAATGACGATAACCATCAGAATACTGAACATATGATTTGAAATAACAGAATGAAAAGATGTATAAATGAAAATTCGAGGGAAGATAAAAAGTGAATGCATTCGCGTCATTGTGAACGATCCTGAGACATGTAACCTTACGTCATCAACCACCAATTAATATCAAGAATGAAATAACAGTATGAGTACAGAATTTATGATTATCCAAATGAGCTAACCGTTAGAAGAGGTCCAGTGAACAACCAGTGATCAAAACATAAATTTGACCCAACTTTCGAGCTCTTTGAAGGTATACAAGTCGTCAGATGATCTCAAATACTTTTAGAAGTATGTGGACCCGACCGTTGTTGCTACCTTGACGTGGTAGTCGGGCTTGCCTATCGTGACGAAGCAACCGAGCTATACTGGCTGGAACAACTGTTCCTCAAGGTCCTACCATGTCAGACAGGTCGGTTGAAGAGTGGTAAGACCAAAAGCAACGATTCCAAGGTCCGAAGGCGAAGTCGTACTGCTGACTGAACAGAGGTGTGACAGCAGTAAGGTGTTCCCTTCAGATAACCAGCATGACAGAGATGCTGCCTTCCTACAAGGAGCGGTGGGGTTAGAAAAGGTCGACCCTAAAAATGCACACCTCGCCTTATCCCACGGATATCCGTCTCCGGCGGTAAGGTCTCAACAAGTACGGAGCTAACACAAAAATTACTCATAAAAACGTCGTGTGTGACCGACCTCAAGCAGTTGTCCCTTGGGCACTGCGGTCACGCTCCCAGGTCACTGAAATCACCTCTAATCCAATTTCCTTTTCAGGTACCTCCAGAACAACCCTTCAACGGTGTGGGTAACCGGGAAGTGATAACCGCCCTCATACCTCTAACAGCACTCAAGACCACTGTATTCATCAACCTCTGTCTTCACTTTCTATCATTCCTCCTACATCAACCTTTACCTCTAAACTTCCTCTTTCGGCTTCCTCCTCAAATATCACCATAGCCAACGATTCCAGTGCTCAAAACACTGTCCCAGGTCTACTGAAACCTCGCTCCAAACTACACATTGGAGCCTTCAACGTACGAACCCTATGTCAAATCGGTCAACAGGCTTCCTTGGCTAGAACCCTAGAATCTTGTACCATTGATGTATGCTGTGTCTCTGAAACACGCATACAGGATCCCAATGTGGTCATTCACTTGGCCTCACCTAGACAAAACCGAGAGCCAACGAGATACACCCTCCATGTGTCTGGTCACCCGATGGCCAGCTCTCGTGAACTGGCAGGAGTAGGGATAGCACTAAGCATGAAGGCGGAACAAGCACTGTTAGAGCGGACCCCTGTTAACAGTCGTTTATGTGCTGTTCGGCTAAACGGCTCCGTAAGAACTCGGAAGGATAGGGACACACGTCGTTGCCTTTTTGTCATTTCTGCCTACGCTCCCACCGACTGCTCAGATGAAGTGAAAAATCAATTTTACAGAAAGCTTTCTGAACTTCTTCAGAAAGCTAAACGTTCAGACATAGTACTCGTAGCAGGTGACTTTAATGCCCAGATAGGTAGTTTAAACCACACAGAAAGGCATTTAGGTGAGTATTTTAGTATTCCGGCTCAGCGAACAGATAATGGAGTTCAGACGATTGTCGTTTATTTTTAGCAAACACAAATTTTAAGCATGAGGAGAGACATCGTCTAACATGGCGACCCCCTACACCAAACCAACGATGGACTCAAATAGACCATATTACCATCAGTCATCGTTGGAGAGGGTCGGTACAAGATTGTCGCACATTCTGGAGTACCTGCTTGGACTCCGACCATGTCCTAACACAGACACGCATCTGCTTGCGCCTCACTGGACGCAAAAAAGCCTCAGTAAAAAGACCCATTAGAACTTAATTGAGTAGCGAGAAAACCAAAAGTAGGTTCCACGAACACCTGAGGTTACAATTAGGTAGTTCTGAAAACGAGGTTGACCCAGATGTTGCTTTGAAAGCCATACAAACAGCTGTGGAAACAGCAGTGACATTTATCAGTGATTTAAACCGCAGGGTTACAAAGAACCAATGGATTTCCTCTAGGTCTATTGCACTGATGGATTCTCGTAAACTCATCCCATCAGGCTCTGAACACGATGAAGAGCGACAACAAATCAGATCTAGGTTAAGCAAAAGTCTAAGGAACGACCGTGATCAGTGGTGGGCAACGAAAGCAAAAGAGATGGAAAAGGCGGCGGCTATAGAGAACACAAGACAGCTCTACAGACTAATAAACAAAGCTGGAATTAATAAGTCAAGTGTAAGTCAGACTATTTCAGAAAATGACAACACTTTCATCTGCTCTCAGTCCAGACGTTTAGAACGATGGGCGGAACATTTCAGCTGGTCTTCATCTACTCTACAACTACCCTCCATTCCCAGACAGTGTGAATGGAACATTGAAGTAGGTCCCCCAACCCTAGCAGAAGCTCAAAAGGCTATAGTTAATCTGAAACGAGGAAGGGCAGCTGGTCCAGATGGATTGGTTCCAGAGGGCTTTAAGGATGGTGGTCCAATTTTAGCGATTAGGTTGACTAATATTTTAGCTAAAATCTGGGAGTTAGACGTTATTCCATCTGACTGTTCACAATCACTTATCGTCCCAATATATAAGAGAGGGTTAAAATCATCCTGTGACAACCATAGAGGGATTAGTTTAACAAATATAGTATCTAAAATACTAGCCTCGATAATTATCAGACGCCTAACTAAGACTCGTGAACTGCAAACAAGAGGGAATCAAGCTGGCTTCAGACCTGGTCGTGGCTGCATCGACCACATATTCACCATTCGTCAGGTTCTAGAACATAGGCATACTTATCGGCGTCCGACAATGGTGGCCTTTCTTGACTTAAAAGCAGAATTTGACTCGAAAGACCGCGAGATTCTGTGGCAGTGTCTGTCATTGAAAGGCGTACCCCAGAAGTACATAAACCTTGTAAAGGCTCTTTACTCGAACACTACCAGTCGAGTCAGAGCTTATGGCGAACTGTCATCTGCTTTTGCAACCTCAAGTGGTGTCCGTCAAGGCTGTCCACTTTCTCTATTTTTGTTTAACTTCATCATAGACCTATTGATGGAAATAACATTCTCGTCTACTGAATTCTCGGGTATTGATCTCCTTCCAGGAGGTCCACTTATCGACTTAGAATACGCAGATGACATAGTCTTGTTTGGTGAAGACGCTGATAGAGTCTTTTGGTAGCACTGAGCAACAATGCCAGGATGTTCGGAATGCGCTTCTCTCCCTCTAAATGCAAGATGTTGCTTCAGGACTGGTCTGCGTCAACACCTGAACTAGGGATAGGGAGTGAAGTAGTCGAACACGTTGACAACTTCACTTATCTTGGAAGTCTGATCAGACCTAATGAGTTGGTGTCTGACTAAATCTCAGCATGGATTCGAAAATCTCGCTTGGCTTTTGCCAACTCACGTCACCTATGGCAAAGGCGAGATATCCGTCTATCAATAAGAGAACGAGTATACTGCGCGGCAGTCCGTTCTGTTTTAATTTACGGCAGTGAAACATGGCCATTAAGAGTAGAAGACACTCGTAAGCTACTAGTATTTGACCACAGATGCCTCAGAAATATTGCTGGCGTCTGCTAGGATCACCGGGTAAGTAATAATGAGGTTATGTGCAGGGTATTAGGGAATAATGGTAAATCAGTCGATGAGGTTGTGAATCTTCATCGACTGAGATGGTTGGGCCACGTGTTACGTATGCTCGAACACCGATTACCACGACGTGCAATGCTAACCGGTGTTCAGGATGGTTGGAAGAGAGTTAGGGGCGGCCAAACCAAAACGTGGCATCAGTGCTTGGAGTTAGTAACTTCTAGTCTGAGCTATGTTGTTAGATGCAAACTACTTGGTTGGGGTCCGTGACTTTCGTAACCAATGGTTGGAAACTGTGTGTGACATGACTCAGAATCAATCACAATGGCGTCGGTGTATACAGTCCCTGTTTTCCCTTAAACTAAGAGATTAAAATTGCTTCATATCTTTCTTTCTACGGACTAATTCTTTCTTCCTGTACTATATCCTTATTGCAATCTTTCTTTTATATATTACCACCTCTGAATTAACTACTTTTATGAATCCGGTGTGCATGTTGTTGTGTTAATGGGGTATGGCAACTTGGACGGATGCATATATGTGCCTGGTCCTACGTTGTAGCTGAAAGACTGACTGAGAGGTATGTGGAGGAAATTTAGATTCTCAGTTGTTTTTACCGTAAAACGATACTTATTGTTAAGATATGCGCAAAGGTAGATAGGTTATAAATGGTCTTGACGAGTCAGAATCGTAAACACAGGGACCAAGAGATAACTATTCCTTTAGGCCGGTCACATATGACTTCATTGTGGATACTTTTATATGTGCAGGCTTACGATTTTAAAGGCCTTATTATCGTTGACAGATACCTATGGGACAAGACGAGGTGTGGTGCTTTTAGTGTAAACCTTATCAACAAATGCAGTTCAAGACAAACAGTGTAACAACAGCCTCTACATCAATAGAACTCAACATACAAAAAAGAAAAAGCAAGATCCTCAAGTACAACACGGAGAACACCAACGTAACCACATTTAGTGGGAAAACTCTGGAAGAGGTCGGAACTTTCACGTCAGTCAGTCAGTCAGTAACAACGGAGAACTTCGTACGTACGTACATCAGTTCGAATTGCCATACCACATTAGCACAGAGATGCAGTTGTCGATTCAAATCCGGTTGTGGTAGAGGTGGTAAGAGTATAAGTAGTAATCGGAAAGATTAGGGTTATTCAAGGAGTATAATCCAGTGAAATAAATTTGGGAAAATAAAGAAAAGGACATGAAGAAATCAGAAGATTAGAATCTGGGAGAACACAAAGAGTGGATGCACCTGCACCATTGCAAACGATTTTGAGCCATGTCATTAAGGGTCTCCAGCCATCGGTTGCTATCATCTCGCTGTCCCCAACCAGGTAGTCTACACCTACCAACATTACTCAGTCCATTTGTCAGTGACTTCATGGACTTGTGCCGTGTTTTGGTCTGGCCGCCCCTAGCTTTCTTCCAATCTCCTCCTATACCACTGAACATCGCACACCAAGGCGGTCGGTCGTTGAACATACGTAACACGTGCTCCAGCCATCTCAACTGATGACGTTTCATCACTTCATCGATTGACTTGCCATCCTTACCTAGTACCCGTTTCCTAACAACTTCTTTACTTATCCGGTGGTCCCAGGACATACGAGCAATGTTTCGAAGACACCTATGATCAAACACTAGTAGCCTACGAACATCCTCTACTCTTACCGACCATGTTTCACTGCGCAGTAAACTCGTCCTTTGGTTAGTAGACGGGTATTTCGCCTATGCCATAAATGACGCAAGTTGGCGAAAGCTAGTCAAGCCTTCTCTATCCGTGCTGAGATTTCGTCACACACCAGACCACAAGGGCTGATGAGACTTCCAAGATAAGTGAAGCGATCGACGCGCTCAATTACTTCACTCTCTATCACTAGTTCGGGTGTCGATGTAACTCAATCCTGAAGCAACATTTTGCATATCGAGGGAGAGAATCGCATCCCGAACATGCTTGCATTGTTGCTTAGAGTGGTCAGAAGACTCTGCATTTTAACAGCGTCTTCGCCAAACAAAACTATGTCATCGGCATATTTCAAGTCAACAAGTGAATCTCCCGGTAGAAGTTCAACCTCTGGAAATTTAGATGAGGAAAGTGTTATTTCTAAAAGCACGTCAACAACAAAATTAAACAAGAATGGAGAGAGTGGACAACCCTGACGAACACCACTTGAGGTAATCAATTCTGATGACAGTTCGCCATAAGCTCTCAATCGATCAGTTGTGTTCGAGTAGAGAGCCTTTACAAGGTTAATGTACTTCCCTGGTATTCCTTTCAGTGACAAACACTGTCACAGAACTTCACGATCAACAGAGTCAAATGCTACCTTGAGGTCGAGAAATATTACCATTGTGCAGCGTCTAAACGTGTGTCTGTGTTCTAGAACCTGACATAGTGTGAATATCTGGTCTATACAACCACGTCCAGGTCGAAAACCAGCCTGATTTTCTCTAGTCTGTTCTTCACTAGCTTTAGTTAGGCGTCGAAGTATTATTGAAGCTAATATTTTAGACACTATATTAGTCAAACTGATCCCTCTGTGATTGTCACAAAAGGACTTTTGTCCTTTCTTATAGACTGGCACAATCAGTGATTGAGACCAGTCAGATGGGATTACGTCCAGTTCCCAAATCCTACCTAAGACCTCAGTTAATCTCACTGCTAATACTGGACCACTACCCCTAAAAATCACAGGAGTAAACCTGTCAGGTGAAACTTTCACGTACCTGGACAGTATCGTATATGAACAGGGAGGATCCGATGCAACCGGAAAGGCAAGGATTGGCAAAGTAAAGACAGCATCCCTAGACTTGAAGAACATATGGAAGTCAAAACAACTATTAACCAATATCAACGTAAGAATCTTTAATACGAACGTCAAGACAGTTCTACTGTACGGAGCTGAAACGCGGAGAACTAAAACAACCATAATCATAAAGTACAATTATTTATGAACAATTGTCTATGCAAGATACTCAATGTCCGTTTGTCGGATACCACCAGCAACAGCCTACTGTGAAAGAGAACAAACTGGCTTCCAGTTGAACAGGAAATTAAAAAAACGCTGGGGTGAATAAGACATACATTAAGGAAATCATCAAACTGCATCACAAAGCAAGAGTTAACTTGGAATCCTGAAGGGAAACGGTAAAGAGGAATGCCAAAGAACACACTGCGTCGAGAATCAAAAGCAGACATGAAATGGATGAATAGCAAGTGGAAAGGATTTCCCACGACGGAGTTGGATGGAGAATTCTGGTGGGCGGCCTATGCTCCTACATGAGAGGTAACAGGTGTAAGTAATCTATGCAGATGATCGAACAGTATAAAGATTATAATTACTGGGTCAACTACTTTTAACATTAAAAAGGTTCTGAAGGTAAACTGCAGGCATGAGCTAGCATTTACACTGTACCTTTATTTACATTCATTTATTTAAACTGGTACAAAGGAGGGATAAAATATAATTGTGTCACAGAAAAACGAAGATATAGGGAGAGGAAGATAAGAATAATAAAATATAACAAATGGATAGGAATAATAATAATAGTAGTAACAATAATAATGGGAGCACCAGTCCAATCCGGTAAGCAAAAATAGAAAGGACTCTTTCGCATCCTAGCCTATCACGAACCTGAGTAAGTTTCCAAACCCTGTAGACAGTATATATACACTTCGAGTCTCTAGATATTTTGTAGAAAATAGCAGCTCTGTGTTGCCCACATCCCGATCAATTGAAATATCGCCTGAAGTCGTACATAAAGCTTAGTTTTTAACTCCTTGTTTCAAGAATAACTCAAACGACATATAACTTTCATAAAGTCCAAAGTTTTGAAGAAACATTTGGGACAAAAAACCAACCCGAACCATGAAAACAGTACGTAAGCCACGGGAAATTAACTATCGAGAGTTTGGCTACCGAATGCATCCTTCTAGATCATATATGATCTTGGATATTCTATAGAATATTCATTAATGACGTATATTAATATACGTAAAATTACTTGTGCGAGCAAGTGAAAATCAGAATACTGAATTTTAATATTTACTATACACGCATATCCATTCAATACAGAATTTTCTGGGCTAGTGGTTACATTTTAAAACACAGTGAACAATGCAATACAAGATATAAGGACGTTTTGGAAAAGGACATACCTACACTCGGTTTGGATACCATCTCCTTTGCTTTTGTAAGACCAAACTTTGACAAGTCGACACATGCACGACAGAATCCCCTGCTTTTAGGGTCGTAAATATCTTCATCATCGTCTTCACTCACAGAAACACGTTCACCTTTTCTAGCCATGCTGATATGACCTTGACCTTGGATCACGTCAAACTTCGAGCTTTCATGCAAGTGGTTGTGTTGTCAATCTCCAGTAATAAGGATAGAAGGTCTATCAACCTATATTAATGCTTGCAGTTTTTAACACTACGGAGGTTCAATCTCGTCTTGAATATGTCAACAGAAGGTGCTGATATTGCGTGTTCTAAATGTTACAAAATGGTTCAAATGGTTGTGGATGGAATAGAAGAAGCTTTAGCTTAACAGGCATTCGTGTCTAGTAGCAGTGGAATACCAACACCTCCAGGAAGAAATCTAGGCATATTACCTATAACAGATTATAAAAATACCGTTAACTCATAATGGGATGTTATCCTTAGTCCTCGAGAATAGGTCAAGTTTCCTCTTTAAGGACTCCTAGGAAATCTCTTAAAAGAGCTCAGTTGGCGATGGATTCCAGCACTTGACAACTTTTAAGGATTATAAGTTTTATCTACAGTCCGTTTTATCGCCAATTTCTGGGTGTCACTCCCTAGGTTTTTATTGGGACTAAGCTTAAGTAAGTGTTTAAGGGGATGTCCAGAAGTGTTAAGGATACTGTAAGCCATCAGAAGGTCACCTCCAAGACGCCTATACTCTAATGGGTAATGGTTAAGTGATTGAGGTCGCTCTTCATGAGGTTGAAATTTGAGTCCCCGAACTGATTTCGTTACTCGCCGTTGGATACTCTCCAGAGTGTCCTTATCCTTTTAGAGTGAATGAGGAAATACTGTGTCTCCGTACTCTCAATGGAGACGAATAAAACTGTTGAAGATTGCCTGGAAAGTCCTCCCGTCAAACTGGCCAAAAATGCGCTTCAATGTTATCAGTGTAAGGTTTGCTCGAAAGACATTTCTGTCACAGTTAGCGTAACTTCAAATCGTGGGGCACCAGTACTCCTAAAACTTTTTCGACTTTGGACACTACTAGAGAGGAGTTTCTTATGTTGTAACTGTAGCCTGCAACATGACGCAGGTGGAACACTTTACACTTTGAAGTGTTTAAGGCAAAACCGTTACCATCTGTCTAACTGTGAAGTCGAGTCAGATCCTCCTGAACTGCCTGTGGATCGTCTTGGTTGCATATCTCTCCAAAGTTTCACGTCATCAGAAAAAAGTAATAAGTCAAACGATGCATGTTGTGGAGGATCATTTATATAAATCAGGAAAAGAAGAGGGTCCTACCACTGAGCCCTGAGGGCCCCCACTAGGACATTCCATAGCATGAGAGAAAGTGAAGTTAACCCTGACCTTAAAATGTCGATTTTTCAGGTATGGAGTGAGTCAATCGATTAGAGGTGGTCTGATAACCAATGGTTTGAGCTTATTGATAAGACATATATCGTTGACCCAATCAAAAGCTTTTGAGAAATCAAGATAAATGATATCAACCTTTCCCTTGCGATCAAAGATGGTAGTCTATTTGTGCACCGATCTCAACAGGTTGGTTATACAAGAGTAACCCTTCCTGAAACTATGATGTTTAAGTGAGAAGAAATTTAAGGACAGAGAATTCTCATGTATACCATCGCATATCAGGGACTCCATGATTTTTGAAGGTATAGAGAGAGGAACCAACGGTCGGTAAATTTACGTTTCACTGCGTCGACCTCCTTTGAAAATTGGTGTGTTATGAGCCAGCTTCCAAATTTCCGGTGGTTCTCCTCGACTTAGCTAGTGTGAGAACATCACGCTAAGCGGTGTTGCCATGATTGGGGCTGCTTCCCTCGGTATAGCCGAATGAACCTGTAGCGGTAAATAAATCCTCAAAATAATTAGCTCTGTAAGTTTTCGACATTGGATGCTGACCATATATTTTAGTGGACTTGTAGTGGCATTGGACCATAACCACACTATCCTCAAAGCTGAATACGAGATTACTCGGAAAATAGGTATTCAATATTTAACGCGAAGAAATACCTAACGATGGAGAAGGCGCGAGTAATGAGTTGAATGAATTAGAGTTGATCGAATGGCATGGCTCGGTCATGCAGGCGTGGTCCCTGCTGAATGTTACCTTATATCTTCTATTCATATTAAATATATTGTTCTTTCTCTAGCCTAACCTTGTTCTACATCATGTATTGGTAATTGATACGATACAGTGAGTTGGTGTAGTCGATGGTGTAACCTCCACGTAAGATCTTATAGATTAGGCAGTTATATCATGACAAATCTACAAATTTAGGATTAGGTCTATTATTAGAGCAGTACTAATATCATAGTAGATCATAAATTCTACAGACTCATGTAGCTGAAGGCGCTCGGTCATGCATCCGCACCAGATCACGTGTGGTAACGCTGTGCTCAACATCTATCGCAATCCCTAATCAGATTAGATCAGAGAATCCCGATATATTGGTCATCGCCAAATACACTCTTCCGATCTCCTCGACTCTGTCTCTTGATTTCTCTCGGTGGGAACAAAGTATATTAGGTGTTACTGGTAGAAGCATTGTCAAACACTGAATACCTGTATCATCCTCAAAACATATATGTGCCGGGTAAAGTATCTTTTCTTAGGTTCCGCAGTTTCCGGAACACCAAATCAGCGCTCAGGTTCGCTTCGGAAAGTCCTGTGCAGTTACATATGAAGCTGTCATCAGTGTGGTTGATGTGGGTCAGTAAGGAACTCCAGTAGTTCATTATTCAGTGCGAGAAACGAAACTCCAGACATAGGCTATTTCATTTCAGTTTTTGAGCCGTCTTAAAATATCCTCTCAAATGATCAGTCCTAGGCGGGAGGACATGATAAGACATGTTAATACCAAGGTCATCATTCAAGATACGATAACCCAATTTTAGATCACTCCGTAATCCACGGTAAGATAAGGTGCATAAGTTGAAATGTCTCGGTCTGTCTTCGTAGGACGGCCCAGCGAGACCTTTTATCATTTTAGTCCCTCGTTGTTCGACTCTTTCCAGCATATCCGCTTAATACTTGAAACAAGGACTGGCTACTTGAATCCCATATTCCAAATGTGGTCTCACAAAATCCCATATAATAACCTAAACATTTATTCACCCAACTACTGAAAAGACCTGCGAATAGCCCATAATATTATATAGCCCTTCTCAACAGCAGCCTTATAATTACTGATAGTTTTGAGATCACTGCTTACTATGACTCCTAAATTTATATAGTTTTTTACTTTGGGTAACACAAATCCACATAACGTGCAGTGTTACGGATCATCACAGTTATTTAGTTGCATCACCACACTCCTGTTACACTTCACTTCTAGTGACCATCCGTCCATCCATGCCACCAATGAGTTGAGCTCATCCTGTAATACTACTCTATCTGACATACTGTGTATCGGTCTCCAAATCTTGAGAGAGCGGCCTACTTGAGCATCTGGGATACCTGTTCCTGTCATCTAGATATTTCAACAAGTTATCTATTTTTGTTTGTTTTAATATATCATCATGTTTATCAATCTCATAACCTATTCTGCTGCGTTTCTGAAACGTGTACAACCTTTCGTTGTCAAAGTTACAAAAAATTCAATAAGAGACAATGTGGTTGCTGGCATCATTCAGAGAAAAGAATGCACATTATTCAGATGTTCATTTACTGAACTTCTAACATCTTACTGGCGATCACTCAATATTCATCGCCAGGACCGATCAAGAAGAAACGGAAATTTGTTGAAACAATTTACGCTGAGAATTCTATATTGTACCAAAAACATAATATTGAATAAAGCTGATGATAATAAAATGTCATGAGCGAAGATTAGAACGGAGGACTGTTCTGCACTTGGTAATTCATTTACGTAAAGTAAAAGAGAAGAGGACCAATGATTGTACCTTGAGGTAGTCCATTTTTTACAGGCTCCCACGCTGAGAGAGTTTCATTTACCCTTTCCCTCCGTCTACCATCACTGAAGTCACTTATCCAGTTTGCGACCTTGTGATGGATTCCCAAACTTTCCAGTTTTCATTTAAGACCTGAATGAGAGACCTTATCAAAGGCTTTACTTGAATCTATGAAAATTACATCTACATAAATATTTCGATCTTTTGCTGCAGCCCAATGTTCTCTTGCAATAAGAAAATCTGTGACACACGACAGGCCTTTCCGTTAACCATATTTTTCTCAGGATGTTATAACTTGTAACCTGTGTGCCCTGTTAATGTATAACGTAACGATACCGCCAATTAGAGGTCAGTGAATTATCGATCGGACCAATGACGTATAAAACCCATACGAGCAGTCTAGAGTCCTTATCGGTCCTGCTTCCTGCTTATCCCAGCCAGTTAAATCCAGAACACCAATCTCAGCCTCAGCAATATGAATCACTTATTTCAAACATACAGGGTTCATATACCAATCAAACAGATCACATCGTCCCATGAAATAGGAAGCAACATTTGTACAAGAATTAGCCAAATGTGGCTGTGAATGAGGGAGGTAGTAATTAATAGACAGGGCATAACTCAAGAATGGTAAATCGTATAATAATAGTCCATACGTCAAAATAAAGCTCATAATAAGAGGGACATGAGTATGAGTAGTTTATTTATTTAACAATTATACGATAAAAATGTACGCATAGTATAGGTCCATAAATAGACCCCAAAAGTAACCACTAATTATTCTTACTGAAACATAACATAGGATAAAAGATTATGCCCTTTCACATAGTTTGTGACCGCCATCGGAATACTTTTTTCCATTAGTTTCACAAATGTACTGATTATAATAATGGGTCGATAGTTACTAAGTCTCTGCTACCTGTCTTATACATCGGACTAACCATTGCGTCTTTACAGTCTTTAAGCAGTCTGGACTGCCACAGTAAGACCATAGGTTCAGCAATTACATCCGACAGGGCTTTCATAATCCTAGGATGAATATCATCAGGATCACTGAACTTATCTGAATTGAGACGTTGAAGTAATTTAAAGATAATTCATTTCTCAATAACTACGGGCTCCATCGACAAGCCTCCCTGGTCACGATCGATAGTTGTTCATTCCTCATTGGAAGTTAAAAACATCTTACTGAAATATTTCGATAAAGCTTAAGATTTTTCGGCATCC